AAACAAAACCTCAAGCTAGGTATCTGTTCAGAATGACAATGCTTTTTCCTCCACATAATTAATTAATATATTTTTGTTATTCTAAAATATTTCATATCATCCAGTACCTGTGTTTGGGTGATAAACAATCATTGGCCACTTTTTTGGGACAAATGATTAGATATTGCAGTTAATGCAAATATCTGCTATTCATATGGCACAAACTCTGTGCATGTAGACGTGGAGTCATAGTCAAGAGGATCTGCCAAAGTTGAAACTGAGAATATGAACAGGGAAAAGGATTGATTTAAGTGACTTTCATGTGGTTGCTTAAAGTATTTCAGAAACTGCTGATCTGCTGGGATTTCCCCCACATAACCATTGCTAGTGTTTACCGAAAATGGTAAGCAAAAATATCCATTGAGCAGCACTTTTCAGAGGTCAGAAGAGAAAAGCCGATAGAGTGGAAACAGTTACTCAAATATCCATTTGTTAGAACCACAATATGCGGAAGAGCGTCTCTGAAGGCGCAACAAGTCAAACATTTTAGCAGATGAGCTACAGCAGCAGAAGACCACATCTGGTGGCCATTCCTGTCAGCTAAAAACAAGAAACTGAGGCTAGTTTGCACAGGCTTCTAAAATAGAAGATTCTAAAACCATTATCTAATCTGATGAATCTATGTTTTTGCTGTCACATTTAGGTGGTATGGTCAGAATTTGGCGTAAACGATATGAAAGCATGCGTTCATGCTAATCTTAATAATGGTGTGGGGGATCTTTTCTCGTGCCCCTTAGTATCATTTTATGATATTTTAAATATCACAGCCTGCCTGAGTATTATTGCTCACCATGTCTATCTATTTATGACCAGAGTGCAGCTGTTTTTCGATGTCTGGATGACACAGCATGTCACAAAGATCACATCTAACTGTTTTCTTGAACATCATGAGTTACTCGAATACTAGAAAGGTGCCCAGTGAATGCTCACCCCTACCTTTTAGCTGATTTGATCAAAGTTATACCACCTAGTTATCTAAAGGAGTTGTATCTCAAATAATCACGTGAAGTGACAATTAAATTCACTTTTAGCTATTTACCTTATACCTATTTACACGTGTGTACATATACATGAAAATTTAATTTTGAGCTTCTGTTCATTTTGAAAACCAATAATAAATATATTCAGATTGGCAGGTGGACCGATATAACACAAAGCTCCCCTTTTTTTTTATTTCTTAGTAATGAATAATGTGAAGTATAGCTTCAGGCCTGTGTAGCAGCATTTACAGTGCATGCAAGATACACCTGCCTTCTATGGCTTCACTGCAGAATCTGAAGTTGTGAATATCAAGTGGGATATATATTAGGGAAAAGCCACAGGGTGCTGTAAAGTTTAGAGAGAAGACTACTTGTTGCATGTTTTGTACTAAGTAGTCGATAATATTATCCTTATGAATATGCCCTGTATTTTGTGGTTAACTGTCACTGAAAGCAACTATATCTTATCCCACAGAGAACAACAAACAGAAGCTACTATACACAGTTGGCATATAGAGTTGAATCAATATTAACTACTTAGGAAATATAGGCTTACAAACCTTATATTTGTTCACTGTCCCCCTCTATTATTTCAGAGTAAGTGGTCAAAGCTGGTAACTGGCTTTCTCAAAAGAAATGAAGTATGCATTAGAAGTAAACAGTGAGAAGAAGGGGCCAAAGGGAAATCCAGCTTCCACCACTTTAGCTCAGTACCTCCATTTCCTCTGTAATTAGTCATGTTGCTTATACACCTCCAGCTGTGCTTTAATCAAAGAATGTGTGTGGAAAAATAATTAGCATGTTAGCATAATGCACATAATAAAGAAGTACTTGTAGCCGTCTTGATCTCAACATCAAAGACCGTGTTGGTTCTTTCTTGGGGCATTACTATCATACAAATCTAATTACCCCTGGTATTGAATTACCGGATTTTAGTGGATACTTGGAACCAATATAAAGGAATGTCCTCACAGATCTCCAACCTTCTCCATTACAAAAACAGCACACATGGACAAATGTTGAAGCAGAATACTAATAATGTGTGGTGTTTGTCTCTGGGACATGTTAGGAGAAATTTTTCCGCGGTTCTCTAACTGCAGCCACGTAAACCTGCCCAGAGCAGACACTCCTTTGACCTCAGTGTCTAAAATAGCTCCCAGTCCACTACTGTGGCCGTGTCCTCTGACTAAACTCTGGGACGCCACAGGATTAAGTGCGGCATCAAGTTCTCATGTAGAAAGTCCTGTGAACATCAGTAGTCTGAACACACCAGCGACAGCAAAAGCAGCAGCAGCAGCGGCGGCGGTGGCAGCAGCAATCCAGTCTAATCCAAATGAATCCGGGTCTCCCAGGTTTGTTCATCCTGGTTGGAGGGTGATGACTGCTCTGCTCTGCTGGAGTGCTTATCTGCTGTCAGTGGTCGCTGGCTGTACAGGCCTCGTGTTATCAGGGCTCAGCCTGCTCGGGGATTGGAGGGTCTGCGGAAAGTAAACACAGAACCTGTCCTTTGCTTATCTGTCCCAGGAGAGAGTATGTGTGTATGCGCGTGTGATGTATTAGTGTGCGTGTGTGTCTGTGAGAGAGAGAAAGAGGAAGAGAAGCTTGTTTCCATGGCAACCTCCTCCTTTAACCCCCCACACCCCTCCCCTCTAGAGGAGAACCCTGGTGGTCTTTGTGTAATGCGATTCCACTAGAATGCACTGTGGATTAGAGCTGTGCTGCCTTCGGGCCCTAGGCAGGGCAACAGTGAAGACATTATTACCCAGATCAAATGCTGTAATCACTAGGCACTAGGGGCTTTCACGTCCATTGCAGATAAAACCTAGGACTGGCAATACTCAGGTGATTAGGGGATTATTATTCTGCATTTCAGCACGGTGCCAGTCCCTCGCTGTTGAAAAATAAATAAATAAATCCTGATTCTCTGTGTGATGGATGGGGGAGGGTAGAAAACAGAATGCCAGCCAAAAGAACCAGCCAGAAATCTGGTGGACTGTGATCAGTGCCTGAGAGTTAAAGCTAAAAAAACAAAACAAAATACAACCAAAAAAAAAAAAGAAGAAAAAAAGACATTCACACAGTGCACACACTGGCATTACAGACCACCCTTGGATTTCTGTATTGTCTTTGAGTCTTGGCTCTGACAATGCAAAAGAGAAGAAGAGAACTGGACCACGTTCTTATCCACAGAGCTGCTGTAAAACACTTAGGCCACTCTATTTCCTTACACTGCACTGTTGCCGTTCTCTAAATAGAACAGAGCACCATGGGCTTTTGCACGAGAACCTGTTTGAAAGCCTTCCATTCAGAGGTAGATCAGCGGAAGGCGAGACAATGACCCCTTCAATGTCCTGCAATAGGCACTCAGAGGTACAACCTTTCATCTGCAGATATTCCACTGTTTGATTAAGTGAGGAAGAAAACTGTACTTGAGCAAGAAGCTTGAGCTACAAATGCGCACAGGAAGTACACACTTCAGCAATGTGGGAAAAGAAAGACTATAGCCTTTAACAAATGAGCCCGTGAGAGCGGGGCATGGCGGCTGGCTCCATGCTAAAAGCATCCGGCCCCGCTTTTATAATCTAACAACAACATGTTTGAAGAGGCAGCCATATGAAGGGCTCACAGCTTCAAGCACAGAGTCCTAGGAGAGCGTTGCTCTGGAGTGGAGGGATTGGGCCATTCACCCGTCCAGCCCAAAAGTATTCAACTACCAAAAGACCACTCAAGGGAACTCGAGAGCAGTGTTTACGTCATATTTCTGAAGTGGCACTTCATAAACCTCTGCCTTATTGTATCACTCTGTGATGGGCGTGTGATTTCATAGCTGCCACCATGCATAAATCCAAACTCTAAAAAAAGTCACTAGCCGTGACAGTGAACACAGTTGGTACAGCACGACGCGACTTTGAAAGTTGCATCAAGTTCATCCCTCAAATATTAATGCAAGCTCTGTAATCTTCTGAGTTAAAACCAATGGCAAAGGTCCATAGCAACCCTCTCTAACTGCACCCAGAATGTTTTTTTCTATCGTGTCTGTGGTTCTCCTGAGACAGTTGTCAGCTCCTATCTGAATGCATTTACAGCAATTTGCTGATGTGCTTCCATTTACTGTCAAGAGCAGCCCGTGAATAAGATTGTATGTAATGTAGATGCAAGCTAGAGCAAGGGAGATCCCTCACTAGCAACACACAGGACAAGGGGGACTTTGAGGTTGCATTTTTAGTTTTTAGAAGAGGAAAAAGCAAGCCCGAGAGACGTTCAGCATGTCGGTGCATTGCCCTCAACAGCAGTAAGTGCTTTAGGTGTTTTACCACACCCACTGTTGGCCGCACTGTAAAAGCAAATATTAATCAGTGACTTTAAGCTTCTTTCCTTAAACAAATGGTTTGGCATCTTTCTTGCCAGGAGTTGTTTGGTAAATTTGAACCGACAGGCAAGGGAGAAACGGGTCGCCTTAGACAGTCTGGCAATAACAAAATCTGTTTATCAGTTCCTCTAAAGCTTACCAATTAACACATTATGCCTTGTTTGTTTAATCCAAAAACCAAAGTGCAAAAACGACACGTGGTTTTATGCCAGGCTGCGTTCTGGAACATTTCTTGGATGGCTTCAGTAACTTTCTGGAGGCTTTTTCTTCTTTTTAAACTGAGCCTAACCAAACAAATAATAGTAACATTTGGGCACATACACCTGTTGAGATTAAATTTAAAAAAGAAAAAGAAAAAAAAAAGCTTTAGATTTGCAGGTAGTTAAGCTATTTCTGCATGTTTGGTCATGACGCTAAGGTGGATTCTGTTGGCAACTTCATCTTCAGTCATACACTCAATTTAATGCTTTACAAAAAAGAGCTAATAACCATATTACTCCAAAGTCTCCAACTAATCCTTGGAAATCTACCACAGCGAGACCACAGCACTACAGAAATCCAGTCAAGATAAATTTTATATAAAACAGTTTATTGATTTATCAACAACTGTCAGCTGTACAGTCCTTATGGATGATGCCACATGTATGCTACACAGTCTTAACTTGTGTTTATGATGAGACCATTCCCGTCTATGAGAAGATTGTAGTGAATATTATGAAATACTGAAGAAAGCAAAGAATACACCCAAAATGTCGAATGTGGTAATGGCGTTGCCTGCGTCCTTTATGAGTAACCAAGTCTTGCGTATCAGTCACAGGCTCGCAAACACAAGCGGCAATAACGATCTCTAATAGACTGATGGCTAAACTTTGCAGAGTGGAGCAAAGGTTTCATACAGTGGTTGAGTCAACAGAGTGAGCTCAAGTCACAGCTGCTTCTCTGTAAAACCCATCAATCCGACAGTTGATATAAATCCATTTTGATGTTATAGACAGGAGCCAGGGTTCAGTGAAAGGTCTTCATTTCAAAGCTGAAATTCTGCTGATCAGGGTCAAAAGGGTAAACATAACTGGAAACCATGATTTTTTTCCTCCCTACAGAAAAAAAAAGCCTTTCCAGAATTCTCGACTGCAAAAATCCATGGGACAAATGTCTGTGATACAGCAAATAGCGAAGAAAAAAAAAGCCTTTGTCAGGGAGAAAAAAACAAAAACAAATTAGATTTCCGAAAAGGTCATTTTGGACAAGGAACATGGAAAAAAAAAAAAAAAAAGCCGAGGAGGGGGAAAAAACTGAAATAGAATATCCTCTTACAAAGTCCTAATCTAATTTCCATCCCCGGAGGGGACAGAAAATCACGGAGAGAACAAGAAAGAACCATCACAAGCGTAACTGGACACCAAAATATAAATCTATAAAAGGCCTTTTATTACTCCATTATGTACACTTTTCACAGGACCTCCAAGGAGAAGCTCCAGAGCGAAGCGCCGCTTCTACTTGTGTCATGGAACTTTATCTCCACATTAAAAAGGACGAATAAAAAAAGAAATATCCAACAAACAGAAACAGCAAGACATTATTTTCTTCTTGGTGCCTTGGGAAACTGCACTCGCTGTACAAGTGTTAGTTGTATGAGTGAGGAAGGGCAGAGCCGAAGGACACAGCATCCAGTGCCACAATAACACCACCATCCATTTTCGTCTGGCACTGCCAAACTTCCTGCCCATCCACCTTGGAGCTGCAGGCAACATCCATGCTGTCTGTGTGAGGGAAGGAGGATGGAGGAAGTGTCTACTGTTCCTGAGCATGAGCATGCTCCGATCCAAAGCAGTCTCTTCTAATAGATCACTTCATACACAGTGGCCTTCTTGTCACCAGAGCCTGTCACGATGTACTTGTCGTCTGCAGAAATGTCACAGCTCAGGACAGATGAGGACTCCTTGGACTGTTTAAAGAAAAGCAAACACACACACACAAAAAACACTTTAATCTTGGAGGCAGTTAAACTTAAATGTTGCTGAGTAAGTTAAGTGGTGAAAATTAGCTGACTTCATGGCAAGATTAGATTGCACTGACATCAACTTCTGGCCTGACGGCCTCAAAAAGGCGTCTTTGTCAGGTCAATAATTCAGGTTCAGTTTTCACTGATAGGATAGTCCTGTCAGACAGCGGTCGTTTTGCCCTTCCTCTTAGAGATCTGTGTGTACGTTTGGCCTGGCTACAGACAGAGTCCATTGATCTGCATACCTGGAATATGCTGGCGCCATAAGGAGTCCTCCAAGCATTCAACAGATTGTCCTTCCCGGTGCTTACGAACCATTTACCTGCAAAGACAACAAAAGTGCCATCAGGACACTTTTCACTAACAAGTAATAGGAAAAGTACCTACAAATGAAGAGTAGCCTTGAGATGACAACAAGCATTTACGCTATTTTAAAAAAGGCACTAATAAGGACCGGCAAAGGGCTCTTCACAGTTAAATACGGTCAGCTTTATCTGATGCTCTTTTTGTGTGTTTGTTCATACCGCAGTAGGCAAACTTGAGGGAAAGGACACAGCTTTCGTGCAGGTGGAGCTGATACTTGTCAGGCTTTGAATGGTGGAGCACTTCCACGTTGCTGCTCTCCATTCCCACAGCAAGCCACTCGCCAGTCGGACAGTAGCCCAAAGAAAAGATCTGGAGATCAAACAGGACAGTAATTACAGACAGTTCTTCGGCCGAAAGGAAAACAGACTCCAGGTTTGGCCCCTTGCATTATGCAGCGTTGTACCTGTGAAGTGAAGTCGTGCTGCTGCAGCTGTCGACCCTCTCTCAAATCCCAGGAGCGAACAGTGTTATCGAGACCACCTGTCCACAGCTTAGTGCCATCATGGGATATGTCAATACAGCTAGCACCATCCGTATGACCTTGAAACTGCCTAAAATCAAAATCGGAAGGCATACAGACAGTTATTGACATTATCTTTTAAATTGACTCAAGCCCCACATACTGGAAATAAAGTTTTGTTTCCGACCTAACGAGAGTCTGGTTATGCAGGTCCCAAACGGCAATGTTTCCATCACTGCAGCACGAGAAGCAGACTTTGGCATCAGGGCTGATGGCCAAGGCGTAGCACGCCGGGGCTGAGGAGGTGAGCTCAGCTTTGATCCGCGGTGTCTGGGAGGCCAGATCCCAGATGGTCAGTGTGCTGGCCTCGCCTCCGACAATCAATGTGCGACCATCAGGCAGTAGCTTACAGGAGCGGATGTAGTTATCCCTGTTCTGTTGCACCGAGGACAAAGCAAATCAATACATGTTCAAGGCAGTGGAGCTAGGGAGAGCTTTAGAAACAAACAAATCATGGGCGGAGGATAAAAAACGTCCTGTCATAACAAATAAACCAAAGATTGAACCTCAAACCTAATCTGAACTATGTGAATAAGTGTTTGGCTTGTTAATTTTTTTCTAGTGTTGAATGAAATAACATGTGTGTAAACATTAAGAAAAGCTGATGAGGTCCTCACCAAACAGTCCAGCTGGGACACGGGGCTCTTGCTGCCTGGTTGGCTCATGTCCCAGATTTTGACACAGCCTTTGCCACCAGTGTAAACGTGACGTGTGGGGTTGCTAATGGTGACAGCACAGACCACCTCGCCATGGCTCAGTGTGTTGATCTGACGGGCGTGGCGTGGAATACCGGGACCAATGAGGGCGTCGGGTGGGAAGGGCACAGGCTGCATTTGACCATCTGCGCTGACATGGAAGGAGTACGCTCTGAAGGAAAAGACACGTGCCTGTCAGTATTTGATATCAGCTGTGTTACAAAAAAATTGATCTGCAACATATCTAGGGAGACACTTACGGTTTTCCGCCAGAAATAGATGTGAGGCTGGCTGGGAGGCCCGGGGCTCTCATGTGGGTGTGAGGATCAAACCCCTAAAAGATGATATGGGAATGTTTGACTAACATACTCAACTGTTATCAGAGTAAAATCCCTCATTGCATCCTGTACATGACTTTTAGATGATCCAAAACTACAGAAAAGGAAAGGGAAAGCCTTTACCATGGGAGTGCGTCCATAGGCTGCTGCTGCTGCAGCGCTCATCTGAGGGGAGATGTGCAGACCAGCATACACCCCAGGGCTAGTCAGGCCTCCGTTCATTTCATGATGGCCCATCATAGCAAAGGGGGTAGGATAGGACCCTGCAATGGATAGAGGTGTGCGCAAAGCTGGGGCTGCTGTAGACAAAGACAGGAGATGGAGATCGGTTTGTGGCCTAACAGTTTTGCAAAGAATGGAAAAAAAAGATCATCTCAGTTTCTGTAAAGTGAAGAGAATGGTACCAACCGAGAGCTTCCATGCCTGGTGGCTTGCCCAGGATGGGTCTGAGCCCAGGAGTGGAGCTGGTGCCAGGGGTGGGGGCATCGTTTCGGGGGGTGGGGGTGTTGGATTTGAGACCAGGCGTGGAGGATTTGTCATTCTGTCAAGGGAACGAGAGAGCAAGCACAATCACAATCCCGGAAACCAGGCACTGTGCACTGACAATTTGAAAGCAAACTGAACTTAATCCAATCTAATTCTGACAACCCTCATAGTCCTGCAGAGCCATAAACTGCTATTTATTCTAAAACCTATTATGGTCACAATGGAGATGGGGACGTTTTTATCCCCTTACTGCTTTGGCTTTAATCTTTTAGTGAGGCAGAGGGAAAAATCCTGGAATAGTTAAATACATTGAGCTATTAACAGAGAAGACCTGACTGATCCTGATGCGGGACAATATTATCCCTGACGTTTAGTCATGCACTTAAAGCACAGACAGCCACTGCTAATCCACTGCAGAAAACGTCCTAGATCTATTTGCACATGTCCCTTTGGTCTCTCGGCAATTGTCATTTAAAACCCTTTCTGTCCCAGTTTGTCCACAACTCTTTTGATGTCTTACATGACTGAGCTCCTTAGCCTTGGAGGAAGGGGTGCTTCCAGATGACGCCACTGATGCGGGGCTGTTGGGTGTGTCTTTCTTTGGGGGGCGGGGCTTGTCAATACCATTTTCAGGTGGTGAGTGGGCTGGGCTTGCCCTTGGAGTGGCAGGATCCTGGAGAAACACACCAGTAATATTTACATAAGAGCAATGTCACATCAATGTGCTACGAACAATTGCTGTGCAGCTCACCTCATTGGACACATCGACCACCAAGTCGTCGCTTTTCTCTCCGTCACTGTCCTGTAACAATAATTAGTAATCATTTAACTTAACACACACAGATGGGTAAAAATTAAAGCACAGACTCCAGGGATGTTGTTCTCTGGTCTAAACTTCATTAGTTTTTTTAATTAAATTGTGAACCTAAAGCAATTTTTTAAGTCACCATTCATAAGCATATTTCCCCGACATGCTGAACTACTCCTTCAGGGACTTACATATCTACTCATGCTGTCCTTCTCCTCCACTTTGCGTTTCTTAGAATCCAAGCTGTAGTCTGAGGAGCTGCGATGCTTCTCACTGGCTGTGCGTAAGCTTTCTGATGGGGATATTGAGTTATTCTGCAAAAGGGGAAAAACCAAACATGCTTTATTACCATTTTGTCTTCCTTCTGTAAGAGAGCGCAGCAAGTCACTCATCCATTACAAATTCACAGAGAACACACTGTGCCAATCCAAACACTAAAAATGCCTTATTCACACAATGATGGATACGGCGGACTCTTAAAATGCAGCTGTAGGCCAGCTCCAAACAGTACCCTGACACCAGCCAAGCACACAAGCCTGTCCCTGGCTACACAACAGAATGGGCTGTTATCTGAACTGAATGGAGGAGGGCTTGTTTTCCGAGCTGGGCTCCCTCCTCCTCATAACTGGACAACAAACAGCCTCACAGGGACATGAGCAGTGTGTTGTAGCTGAACAGAGGGCCTTTTCTCCAGAGTCAGTCAGGCTGAGCGTGAGAGAGAGAGAGAGAGAGAGATAGAGATAGGAGGAGAGAAAAACGAAAGTAAAGCGAGAGAGAGGGGGGAGAGAACCTATATGTTTTGGGTGCTGGGCATTGATTGCCGTAGTGCGCTTGGGCACCATGTCAGCTGAGGCTTTGAGCTCAGATAAAGAAAGAGAATCTATATCCTGCCAGTGGGCACGGCAGCGTGGGACTGACTGGTGCTTCTTCATGGAGCCTGCCCACACAAGCTGGGACAGCTCACTCTAAACGCCAAAAGAATGGGAGGCTTTAGGCAGGTGTCCAGCAGCTTTCACAGGAGTTTGCCACTTGCCTGTAAACTGCCAAGTTCTCCCGATTCTCTCTGTCCCTCATCTGAGGACCAAAGCGAAAACATGGACTAAGTCAGCGGCGACTCAGAGAAGTGAACAATGGCTGATGGACTAGCAGTCTGGGCAAAAAGCCACTGTCTGCATAATGGCTGACCTTTAAAGAGATGCTTAGCGTGACTCATTAGCCAAAGTCACCATTCTACTATCAGATGACCAGGGACGAGAGCACAGAAACAAAACAGGCCCGCTAATCGCCCCAGGACTTCCATTTCTTCAGACATGACTGCACCCATTCAGCTGGCCCGGTCTACAGAAACACAATCTCACAGGCCCATCACAAGCCATCATAGATCGCAGCATTTCAAATATAACGTTTTAGCAGGCCCAGCCAGACGAGGTGGAGAAGAAGAAAAAAAAAGAAAAGAAAAACAAAACAACACTCCATTTGTGTTCATAAATATTCATCACATGCCAAGAAGAAGAAGAGAGAGAGCTGGTAAACAAGGGAGACAGTAGAAGGGATCAAATAAATCCTTTAAGAAGGGGAAGTCCAAGCCTTTCTTTAATTGTGATGAAATTACAAGGCTTCTAATCTCTCTCACATGATACCAGTCATTTCCCCTTCTGGATTAAACACACACGATTTATATTCCAGACCTCATTTTCCATTAATCATTTTATTGAACTCAGATTACACCGCATGAAATCAGTATATGCATGCACTGATGGAAGGCTCTACTTGACACTTGCAGCGCAGATGAAAATGTGATGAATTACAAAAAAGCAAAACGAGTGCGGCTCGGGAAACTTACCGTGCTCTCTGTGTCGCAGACATCACGGTGGCGTCCGAGGTAAAGATGAAACCAAGCGGAGCAAAGAGAAAAACAAGTCACTTAGCACATCATAACAGATGCTTCTAGCTGAATGTGTGACAATCAACTGCAGGGCACAAGGCCCCTCTTATCGGCGTGTATTGGAGCTGCTGAATAGCTTATGCAGTCATGGGCTGGGAATGTACCAGCTCATTACCCAGACAGAATGTGAACAGACAGGATGTGCTCCTCACCTAAGGACCCTATGATTGTGAGAGTGAGAAGCACTCAGCACTAAATTGGTTTATGTCAGTTTAACATCTTTTCAGAACTGCTAAAATTAATATGCCTTTTGATTCTCGCAAATAATAACTAGCTAACAAAGCTACGGGGCCGAGCTCTTCTTCTCACCTCGGTGTTCGAGATCATGGTGGTTCTTTTCATCCTTTACTGGGAGGTGGGCTTGGCTCCCCAGAGCTCCTAGCGCCAGCAGCCCTGATCCGGAGCCCGTCACAGGGGGGATGCCAGGGGGCTGCAGGCCCGAGGGGTGAGGCGGCAACTGGACTGGAGGCCCATGGGCAGCATGGGAGAGGTGCTGTGCCTGGAGCTGCTGCTGCTGTAAGGTGACAGGGAGATAGACAGACAGACAACAAATGGGTTGGAGGGAAAGGGCGAGGAGAAACCACCAACTAAGCACGAGGCTAAACCCCAGATGATATTAGCACATTCACACGTCTATTACTGTCAGGAACACACAGCAATCCCCCTCAGTGCTATTTCCATACCAGGCCAGGGTGGCATAAGCCCTAGATCTGTGCTGAGGCGAGTAAAACCTATAACTGCCTGACCGCTCTCAGCATGTGTAACACACGAGGCAGAGGTGCTCAAGTTATCGAAATAACCCACTAATCGCAGTGTATTATTGAAAACAACTGAAATATTTTTCATTCTACTTTATCCAACAGGGAAAAAAGTCTGCTTCAGCCACATCTTAAAAGAGAAAATCATTATGCTTAAAGGTAAACTGGCACATATTCTACTGCAACAACACAACTCCTGTGCCTCTGTGATTTAAGCGATCAGAATACAAAACTCTGTGGAAATCTGTCTGTGGGCTAAACAATACCCGCTTTTCAAACACATCCAGTGTCTGTTTACTGATCTCATAGTCACATTTCTGGATTGACGGAACATGAATCATTTGCGCACCCAAACTTTAAGAGACTGCGGGAACACAGAGTGCTAGAAGCTGGCACGCCTTCCCTCTCACTCTGAGTCTTTGAGTGTGTTTCTGAGTGTGTGTCTGGAAGGCTGCTGCGGGAGCGAGGACCAGGGGTCCCATGCTGGCACTCAGTCAACCCTCCAATACTCAGCATCAATATTTGAAAGGCACAGGGAAATAGATGGGAGTTAAAAGGCACTCAGCATGGAAGTAAGCAGTTTAAAGCAAGGTTAAATAATACTTAGCTGAGACACCAATAAAAACATCAGCAATTTATTACCCGTATACGAGCCAGCTGAATAATTCAGATGCTGTTACAGCACACTCCTCTCTCTTTTTACAAGACGGATTTCAATCAGTGGCCATTTATGGCCATTTCAGGAATATTAGAATCTTTGTAATGACCAGGGAGGTAGTGTGACGCATAGAAGACGGTGGTGGGCAGGCCTAACGCATAATTAAAAATACATTAACTCAGCAGGAACTCCTAAATTCTGTAGCAGGAATACAAAATACTTAGTGCTTAAATATGTCCTTAGAAATATAATCCACATTGTTCTTTTGTTTTTCTGTTGTAGAAGTAGAGAGGACTAGCATGACTAATAGTTAACTTTTTAACTTGCAACCTTGTGCTTTGTTACATGGGGCAGATGTCAATCCAATTACAAAACGTACCCAAGACAGACACAGCTCTCTCTCTCTCTCCGTGTCTGTCTGGGAGCCTAAGAGAGCGAGTGTGTTATAATATTGTGTCCATGAGGGAAATTAAGGAGCCAGTTCATTGGCAGGGGAGAGCCATCCTTGCTCATTGTGTTTAATGAGGCACTGATGGGTAATAAGCATGGCTGATCAGCAACAGCCCTCATTACAGGGGCCATAAATGAAGACAATAATAAATAAATAAAGGAGTCTGGCCTATTTTCTCTAATTTAATATTCTAAGATAAAGACCTACTCTTTGCTCCTTTTTCCTCTAACTGAGTGTAGTTTAAAATGCCTTGTTTATGACGCGGATATTTTGGGTATTTTCTAATCTGCCAGAAAACACTGCTTGTCAGGTTCATCTCAACACATGCAGCTGCCCCAGTTTCATTCTATTAATGGCCCTCAGCTCCATCAATAAGACATGCAGCTGGCTCCTGGATGCTTCCTGTCTACCTGGCACGCTCTTTCACCTTGCTTTACAAAATACATGAGGATTTTGGCATGCCTACAGAGCTTCTTCTTAATGAATAACTAATGGCAAGGTATTCGTAAAACATACAGTGGTTACATTTCCTCCTCCTCTGACGTGAGCGACCTGAGTGACCCGGGTGGGAGCCTTACTGTTTCATAAAAACTGTCCTGGTTCCCACAAAAGACCACAAACTAAAACTCTGAGCTTGTCAGATAGCTCATAAAATGTTTTCTTAATGCTTTGAAAGCCCAACAAGGCACAGTCAGATGATGAAAAATACAAATTCAAATGTACAACATCCTAGTACTGTGATGCTCCAAATGTGAAAATCATATAGAACACAAAAAGCCCCACTAGTGAAATCTCCTATTCTTAGGAACTACTGCAGCAGCTGCTCTTCCACAAACTGTAATAAAGCATCCATTTCAGTCCAACAGAGGAGTAACAAACAGTTTTCCATCACCTCAAGACACCCACTCAGGCAAATTCTAGGGAGCAATTATCCAGGAACAAAAGGTCACCAAGGGGGTTATTAATTGAATTCCAATATGTGCTTCCAGTCATCAAGTGAGCCTTTAGGCTAGTCTTCTGTGCATGCCGGAGAGTCTACAGTAGTCACAAGATCACAGACAGTTTGAGCTTTCTATCACAGGTGAAACCAATCACTTTCATTATAGCACGCCAGGGTCAGCACAGCTGATCAATGAGGAGCAGATGGCGTTTGGAAGCCACGATGAATGCAGCGGATTACAGCTCGCTGCCGTGGCGTGAAAAGAACTGTGCAGCGGAGCCGTGGTGGCTGACGACTGTCTGTGCTGTCTCAGTTAGCTTGCAGTGTTGGCTGTGTTTAGTTCACCCTCAGCCTTTTAATTCCCACAGCAATCCAGGTCAACTGTGAGAGATGAGGCTCCTCATTAAAACCTTAGCCAATTAAAGCAATACGAGCTGCGAAGGGGGATCTCGAGAGCTCTCAGGCTCGCATTTATCAACACACAACAAGGCATTGAAGATGCCACCGAGGCCAAAGCTAAAGCATTGCATGAGTCTTTTTTTGGTTTGTTTTTGGGGTGTAGTTGCCAATATTAATAGTTTCGTTTGAATTTAATAGTGAAAAATAAGTCATGAAATGAAAAAAAAATAGTGATGACACATTTGATTTAAAAAGAGGCAAATCTGCACTATAAGTGTAGCAAGTGGTGTATTACAATGTGTTCACTCAACAGTTCAGACTACTCGGTATATGAATTTGATGTGAAGGTTTGCCCCTACCCAAGGTCAAATAAAGGAATAAAAGGGGGTATACACACGGTGAGAGGCAGATTGGGAAGTCCACGTACCCCGATGATGGCATTCAGCTCAGTCATAGTCACCTGCTTAGCCCTCTCTACTGCCTGAGCAACCTGCTGTTGGTGCTGTGGACAGACATTTGCAAAAGATTATTTATCACACATCCACACTTGCTCATCTATGAATTTCACAGTTTTTTTCCAAAGCAACACTAAAATTATAAAGGTGAGATAAAATGCTCTTAACCACAATTATTCCCAAAAGCAAGGAGTATTATCTTAAGGGTACAGGCAACAATAAGTGGCGTTGCTTTAGTAGTAAACTGTGACACCATTTGGAAACCGGGCTCAAAACTCACCTCTTGTGACAGGAAAGGCATAATTTGAGCTAAAATTGCGTTGAGCCGTTTGGCAATCTCCGTCTGGAAAACAAAGAAAGGGGAGCAAAATGAGACGGTAAAGTATGAAAGAGACAGTGACTTCATATAACCCCGCCTTTAATGTTTACACCGATTAAGTCAATTACTGCGGCAATCAGAACTGCTTGACTCAACATCCTCTAAACAGCGTGATATTGACATTTGAAATATTTAAAACATTAGGAGAGCCCAGGGGGATGGAGCACAGCTGTGCTAAGAGTGCACTCCATGCTAAACGGATATGAGCAGGCAGAGTGCTGCTGTGTTGAGAGGATCCTCTCTCACTCTGCCCTTCTTCCCCTCATCTGCGAATGTGCTGTCCTGCAGTTAACCTCAGAGTTAAACCACACAACCACACCCCAGGAAGGAAGGCCTACTAACTACAGCGCATTGTTTACTTACATGTAACGGTGTGGGGAATTTACATTAACAATTAGGACTGCAGAGAATGCAAAGACAAACGGTAATAACATTGTAGGGGAGACACCTTCAATCAATACCATTAAGCAAGCAGCCTGTGTCGTAAGTGGCGTTTGCTAAAGCTACAGCTTTAGCCCAAGCCGTTTCTCACTGCAATCAAGCACCCAGCCCACCAACCTCATAGCCTCCCAACATCCACGACGCCCTGCCTCCATTCTTCTGCTTGTCTACCAACTGCCATGGCAACGGCTGCAGCCCTATCTTGCTGGGATCATTATGCAAATGGCACCTCTGCTTGACCGTAACAGGCTTTAAAATCATATTACGTGCTTGGAGGCAGGTCATTAAATTGAATTTTCAGCCTGTCGATCACATGAACGTACCAAATGAATGGTGGATAAAAAGAGCAGTAGGAGGAGGTGTGCGGGGAAAGATCGGGGGCGGGGGGCTATGCTCCACGCCCCCCACCCCCTCCAGTCTCCTGTAAAAACACTGCACAGCCGGCCTGCTCTGCCTCTCTTTCTCCTTCCAGGGAAAGGAGATGAGACTTTCAGGTTCAAGCTCTGCACTGGGAGCAGAAAAATAACAGCGCCAAAGCTACATCATCTTTGGAATTTATGAGCCGCAGTTCAACCCAGGGCCACTGCAGAACACAAACACATCACAGGGATTTTCTCTGATTTTTCATTTGGAGCAGCAGCACACACAATGTACTTTGCAGACCGCTAGCTTATTTATTACACATGGCAGAAATGCCAGGCAGTTTTGGCAGCCAGACATATTACCTCTAAGCAGAGCCAGAGAGATTGGAGAGTAATGTCCAACAGAACGAGACCTGCTGACCCAAGCTGCAACATGGATAGCCACTTAGCCAGTCAAGCCAGCAGGACAACCAACAACAAGCTGAAGATGCAATATCAGATGAAGCCGCGGATCAGATGCAATAATGCCAAACAAATATATGGTAGCATGTGTCACAGGAAGTACAATAGTCCAAAAGATAACAATGAATATAACTTGATTATTGCCCGCAGACAAAAAAAGAAAAAGAAAAAGAAAGAAAGAGACTGAACCGCGGTCCCCTTTGGCACACAATAAATGTGACCTACAGGTAATAAAGATAAATGTTTTACGAGCGCTGGTATTAATGCAACGTAGTAAGTGTTCTAGAAAGAGCTGAAGGAGCCCCACAGAAATGGTCGAAAAGCGACAGGACCCGTATAATCCATGTTTGTTCAGATAAGCCATGTAAATAGCAGTCGGACATTTGACAGGATTTGCAGAAAGGCCTTGAGCGCACGGCCCATTCCTCTGTAGCTTAGTGTCATGGTGACAGCTGGCTGGGAAAGGTCAGGAGGTGGCTGCTCCACTCTGCCCTAAACAACTGGCAGTCTCTACACTCTCACAGCACAACATGCAAATACACGGAAAAGGCAACAACTCAACTCGCCACTGCTGTCAAAATAGATACGGTGCAGAGCTGGGAGGATTTCTTTTTTTTTCCCCTGCCGGCAGATAAAAATTGGGCTGTTGTCACTTTAAGCAGATGACAGCTTGGCCCTTGAGAGGCTGGCTTTGCACTGCCGCTACACAATTACAGGTACTCGGACCTGTGTAGCACCACTTTAAGAGCACTCTCGGGCTGGCTTGTCAATGGTGTGCAGAGAGGTATTCGCCTGTTGCTATCAGCAATGGGAAAATGGACTCGAGACACTGATGAGTATTAAATGTAGAGCGAAAACAAGTGGTGGCTCTGGTCACATGATCCATCTATAAACAATACTTGACTAGTCCCATTTAGAGGCTCGGCAATTTTGACAGCGTTGCCTCATGTCAGGTTTTCAGAGTAAGAAGAAAAACATCAGAGTTTGTTTAAGCCAAAAAATGATGCTTCCACTAAACCAGTCTTTGATAAAGAAGTGTAGTGAGTCCAGAATTAGTTTCTAATTGGCATTTAAAGTTATTGGTATTGATTTGAAAAATGCTGAAAAGCTGCATAAATGAATACGTGAGTCACTACTGTGATTAGTCTTGTCAGCTGCAGCAGTCGAGCTGTGTTTTTTTTTTTCTAAACAAAGCATGACACAATCTAAAAAACAATAAACTTATTCTAACAAAAACAGCATAAGAACATAACCGTTGTTGTTACGCCACATCTTAAAGTACAGTCAAGTAACTTTTCTGCTTATGTAAGTGAAACTGACACCCAACAGTTCACACCCTGAAATTATTACACTGCAGTCCAGTCCCACATGACAGATTGGGGATATGGAAGTACTGATGGCTTGGAGAGCCACAGTTCCTCCAACCACTTTTCACTGCACGCCTCTTTTGTATGAAGACTGCAGACAGCCTGTTGGCTGACCAAGTTTGCTTTGGCGCTTGCCACGGCAGATACTTTGCTACTTAGCAAATGATTCCTGCAGACATGGCTGCGTTACGGCCGTAGGTAACGACCTAATCTGATTGAATCTTAGCACCATACAAGCCCCAAACCCCATGCAGCTCTTGGAAAACAAGCACCATATGAAGATAATTACCAGCTGACATCATGCAGCAGAAATTAGCAGTTTGCATCGACAAACTGACATGGCTGATAGAGAGGGATCAGATAACACCACCAACGTCAGTCTAAGCTTTGCCCGTGTACGCATTCTGAAATGTGAATTATGTCCCTGCACAGTAATGAAAAAGGCACAGTTAGAGGAATGAATTTCCTCACCATGGAATAAATCTCCTGGCAGGAAAATAATATGCCTGTGTGCATCCAATAATCCATCCCAACCCTGCCTGTTAACCGCTCCCCATCTTCTCCTCCTCCCCTGCCTGAGCTGTAAGCTGGGGGAGCTGCATGGACGGGGCCCACACTGTTTGCTCACAAACACGCCGTTCAGCAGGTTAGGGCCCCACTGATGAATTATTCAAGCGCTTCCATCAGCTCTGTTGAGGTTTCTGATAAAAGTCAGGCGCTAAAATGGATCAGTCGATTAACCTGTTTACACAGAGCTGGGCTGTTGCCCCGCCTCCAGCTCTATTCTCCAACTTGTCTCCTGATACCATCCCCCCCACCTCTCTCCTCTGGTTGGCGATAAGTGCCTGACAGAAGCTATCAGAAGGGCCTGAGCCCTGACAGACATGTGGAAGTGTGACACACAGCACAGACACTGATGGATCGCCCTAACACGCCAACCCACCGTGTCGCCAACGCTGTCATTATAACCAAGCCAGGCAGTCGCAGGGGGGCGCGGGAACATAGACAATGAAATGTCACTCATTCACACAATCTCTATCACTTCAGTGCGATTTATCTGCGGAGACATACAAGATAGGATCTTCTGATAAAGATAAGACCACAAAGAAGTGACTAAAGGACTTTTGCTCTGCTGGTGTAATTACTTTATCCTGAAAAAAAGAAATACTGACCTATCAGAGGGCCTCTCTTTTTAATCATTAAGTCAAAAGGCTAAGCCTGCCAAAGTCTACCTTTAATCTTATCAGAAAGCTGAGTCAAATCCCGGATGCACAGCATATGCAAATTTCCAATAACGGCTCACAGCACTTGTACAAGCTGTGGCAGAAGTTTGGGGTTGTGTTGTTGTTTGTGTGCAGTGGATCTGCCTGTTTTCAGACCATTACTGATGCTCAGTTCAGCTCACAGCCTGTAAGTGGCTCCGCCTGGATCTGACATCCCCTGACACCGTGGAAAACCAATGAGCTGAAAAATATGAGCAGCACTGTGATACGTACCTGCTTGTGCATCTCAATGTTCAGCCCGTAGGACATCTCGTAATACTGAAATGAAAGCAGGGATTTAATTGTGGTTAGTGACGTCAGCGCAGTTACAAGATCTGATGATATTTATTACGTGTAACAACAGGCGAGTGTTTTTGCGCTCTACACTCATGAGACTGGCGTAACCTCAATGTAATTATCGCTGCGGTGATTACATCACGGTCAGGGTTTGAACACTATAACGCCTATATAAAAAGTGTTTTTACAGGAAAAGGAGATACGTTATAAGATCAGATAACAAAAGGATTTCTTTGAGCAGCTCAGAGTGAATAGCCAATAAATCAATGCTTCGCTGTTTGCAGTGTGGGCAGAAAAGAGAGGGTTAGAGTTATTGATCAGCTTAAGCCCTCAGATCCCTGTGATGTTTGTTTACTTAGAGTAACGCAGTTGCTCAACACTTATTTCCAGCCAGGTCAGTCTGTCTGGCTGAAATGTAATCCGCCGAGCCCACAAGTGGCAGCCGGAGCAGAAATGGCTTTCCAGTCAGCGTCTATTTGATGAGGCCAATGCATTATTCAGTCCATTAGCTTCTTCGAAAATTACTCTCAAACAAGAGAGCCATTCTGTCTGAGATCAGAGCCCCACAGCCATGGCGTAACCTGACACCGAGCGCTGGCTGTGGGATACTTCCCAACATGTTTACCTAACCTCCTGCTTGTCAGGCCGACATGCTGTTTTCCTCTGAGCAAAAAAAAAAGTTTAATTTAAGGCTGCATGCATTGGTTTAAATAATTCCCAGTGTGTTTACCTGGGATAGCCTTCTTAGTGTGTCATGTCTGAGCTAATTTTTGCGTCAGGGGCACACCTATGTTTTTCTAAAAGGCTACTTTAAAAAAAAAAAAAAAAAAAGCAAGCTAATGATTAAGGTTTACAAAGAAGCTGAGTATAAAGGAGACTGCAGTGTGCTCCACGTCCTCCATTTTGTTTACTGTGGTGTATTTTCCCACACGCTGCTCTGGGCCTCCGCCCTCAGCTCACACCTAATTTATGGCCATGCATATGTCTGAGCGTGGAGTCTCCTAGGAGAATAATCAGATCAGCACACACAGAGGGCAACACTGCAGCCGACCCTTGGAGATCAGGGGCATGCTATAATGGAGCGGCAGCCCACTGCCGGCCGCCTGTCAGGAAGCGCTCCTCTGTAACAACCTGCTACATCAACCCCCACGGGGGGGCTTTCACAGGCCTGTACCTGCCACTCAGCCCGCCCTAACAACCACATAGGTGATCACAATAGCCCCGTCTCACTCCACCCCAACTAGATCTTCAACAAGCCGTGCAATCTGGAAACTATAATTGCTTTCAATTGTAACACAATCTTACCATGACATAGTGGCGCTGCATCTCTGTCTTCTCATTGGCCAGTTTGTCATACTCCACCTTAAGACTTAAAATAGGAGACCAGGTGTCATTTTCAAGCGTCTGTGGCACTTCAATCACTCAGTCACACTTAACCACTTAACAGAGATGTGCACAGGATAAAAACGGGGATGCTTTTAAAAAAAACAAACATATATGCTCCTACAGAAGTCAACAGTCAAATATTAGCGTTAACCTCAAAATCCAATAGAGTAAATGTTGACACTGCCATGCTTTGAGTATAATCATTACCTGTGATACTGGGCTTGGAGGAATTGAAATTCATCTTTAATCCTGTCACAAGACTCTGCTACGGTGAATTTGAAGCCAGGCTGGCCAGGCTGATGTGGAGCCTGAAAGACAAGAAAAGAAAAGAAAAGTGGTTGTAAAAAAAAAAGAAAAAAAAAAAGAGAGAGACAGAGAAAGTTTTATTCTGCATTGTGACCTGCTAAGGAGAGCTGAACAGTTCACACATTTAGACTCAGGCTTTTAGGATAACATCTCCTCTGCGGGAAGACATTACCACAAGGTGGGTCTGATTCACACCTCCAGGGGGTAATAACACATTAGCTTTCACACCAAATATGAAATGTAATTTCAAAAAAGAAATTCAAATCACCACCACCACTACCACCACCTGTCTTCACGTTCAGACACAGTCATATGCAAGTGTCTGGCTGAGTAAATATCTCCAGGCATACAAACAATCTGCATCCATTTAGTACTGACTGCATATTCCGATGAAGCATAAATGCACTGTAATGAAACCCATACAGAAATCTGATGACCTGCATTAAGAGCGGAAAACGCTTTGCAGGGCATGTTTCAGGAGAACGTGGGGGAGGACACGGCACAGGCAGGAACCATACACCAGCACCAGTGTTTTGTAATAAATATGCAATCTTCTCTAAGTATAGGTGAAGCGAGTCTTACCGGATGTCGGCCTTGTGGATACATCTTGAAATGTATCCTTTGTTTATCCCTCCAGTGTACAGGTCCTTTGGCAAAACGGGTGAAATTTGCTCACAGCCACACCAGTCTCAGCAGACAGGGCCGAGGGGAGTGAGGGAGGGGGGAGGCAGGGGATGAGGAGAGGGGGGGGAGGGAGGTCGTGAAAATCCTGTGTTGAGAAATGACGCGGTTTAATCTATAACCGTAAAAATAAAATAATAAAAAAAAACAAAAAACACACACATACACTTTACACTGTTTACCAATAAGTAAGTAGTCACCACAGCACACTAGTCCCAGTTACCGCAGCAGTTCGAGCCGAGTCAAGGAAGCAGCACAACAGTCGAGCGCTTCTGTCTTCTTGATGACCTTATTCGGTCAGTGGTCAGACTCGATATCCTAACAAATCTCAACGTGCAGTTTAACATGATGCCAACACGTAGACGAGGTTGGAGAAGCCACATATCCGCCGTGCAATTTTAATGCTCAGATCCGTTTCGTTCTTTAATAAAAATAATAATAATAAAAGAAAAAAAAAGAACGGAAACTGACTGCTGTTTGTGAAATGACCACCACCGCCCCCTCACCCGGTCCGTAGGACGTCTACAGGCAGGCCATAAGCGACAGCCGCTGGCTTGCACCTACTGTTTGACTCCCGCTCAGAGTCGTGGAAGCGGGGTCGAGCGTACGCCCAAAAATTAGAAAAAAAACTAAGAAAGAAATCAACAGCTCTTGTAAATACGTACCCGTGCGTGAGTCCGAAGCGTCCGTCCGACTTCTGCTCCCGAAGAAAATACTGAGCAGGCTATAATTCATGCGTTTAATCCCTCCTAATGTAAGCCTGGTGGACGCAGTTTTCGTCAAGCATCCTCTCTCCCTCGCTCTCTCCAGAACGCACCCAGCCGGGCTGGGAGAAAATTTTTTAGTGCGGTCGGGCTCGATTAAACTATACTTTATTCTTCAACCGCGAACCTCCGAGGAATGTGCGCCTTCTGCGGCTGGTTAATCCCACAAAGAAGAAGAAGAAAAAAATAAATAAATATGCTTCCAAAATCTGTCTTCCGACTCGAAGAGGTTGGAGATTCTTTAAAAGCGTAACATGGTACTCTCCACAATCTCGCGTTTCCCCCAGTTGTCCAGCTTACCCCGGTTGCCACACACAGGCAGCAGGGCTGAACTGCCGTGAAAGCGCCTATCTGTCCAATCGCATTACTCGGAAGGAATACGGCCACATCTGCCTATCGGAGAGCGACGGCCCCCACGTGGGGTGCAACGGTACATGACATCATCCCGCGGATCCACAAGGCATCATCCGTCCGTCCCACCGTGTACAACAGCAACAACAGCAGGCATTGATGTGCCGACGATGATATCCAAATTTGACAGAGACAGCACAAATTCCACATCCGCGCTTCATTAGGGTGTTTTCCTCCCCCCCCCTCACTGTGTGTGCGCGCCTCCGACATAAGATGATGAATTTTTTTTGAGGGGGTAAGACCACCAGCGGGACGGGGGAGGAGGAGGGGTGGGGGTGTACGGTGAATTTTTATCCCCACACTCAGAAAAACGGATGAGGGGAGTGCTTCTTGTAAAACGTGGTTACAAAATACGAAGAAATGCTAACACGAAATATACAAAGTAGCGGGCAAAACCAGAAATATCCGGGTTTAACCCCCCCTCCCTCTCGCCACCACTATCACTACCTCTTCCTACACGCACAGCGTGAAGGGCACAATATAATGACCAATCGATCGACGACACCCACCAAAATTGAAGCCACGGGAGCGTCTCGATATAATTTCTCGTAAGTGTTTCGAGATTCTTGAACAACATACCCGCTCGTCTACCTATCAGCATTTGGATGATAGTTGCTCAGCGGGGGAAGAGGAGATGATTGCCTTTGTGTGATATGAACATCAGCCATGTCTGAGCGCTGCCTCTGCGCCTTGTTTTGAAGGTTCGGCTCTGCCCCCACGTGGGACTCCTCTGCGGCTTTAAGGCCTCTCGTCCAATGGCCGCGCGGCGCACTTACTCGCCGGCTTCCTATTGGCCCGCCGGCGCCGAGCCTGTCATTCACGCGGCAGCGTTGTCAATCAATACCACGCGGGGTCAAGCGCTGACAAATGCCTGTGCTCCTCGGTCCTCTGCCTGTGAATAGAGCCTGGAATGGCTGCTTAATTAGCTTCGAATGGCTTTTCTCTCCAGTTCAAACAATCTGTTACCACCACGTGGTAATGAGAGCCTACATTAAACAAAGGAAGAAAGGAAGCATGCAAACAGTTGTAACATTACAACCTGTAGTTTTCCTTTACATATGGGCCTATGTAACTAGCAGACAAAAGGCTCTTGTTTACCTTTATCACAGAGGCCAATCCACTTGTTCTAACATTAGACATGATATTAAAGTTGTGTTGTATAGATATGTGTTTTGCTTTCACAAGGCAGAAATGTGACACTTGACTGCTTGTGTATATGTAGCTACTAACTATGTGTGTTTCTCGGTTGTGAAACAAAAGAGGCAACACCACATCCATACAGCTGCAAATGAAAATCACATTATCTCTGATCTTTCTAAAGTGCTACATGCATTCAAAGATGCTAAATTAGCAACAGATGCGTGTGAAATCTTCACACATATTCAAGATGTAATTGTGTATAATAGTGGGGAGTTAAATTATGGTTATAACATATCTGGTAAAGCCTTGCAGTAAGTGACTTAAATACAACCAGCCATGCTTCACTTTGGGGAAAGCTGAGGTCATTATGTCACCTTAAGGTCTGAGATTGCCCAGCAGTCGTCTTACTTGTCATTCTTGTCAGCCTCCTTGAGGATGTGGGATAACTGTGTTATTTCCAAAAGTATGGGGGCAATCTGTGAGAAACTCAAGCACTCACAAGAGCTGGCGGGCTAATCTCACCCAGGCACCCCCTCATGCTTTTCAATAGAGAGTGCTTGGATTAAAGGCAACAAAAGGCTGGGCCCAAACCCCAGGGAGAACGGTGGTGGTGGTGGGGGCTCTCCACCCACCGAGACCCCCACACTGTTTATTTACATGGAAACCCCAGCCTCGGTGAAACTCCCACCCTGAGGCATTACACACGGGCCTATTTGCAGAGGTGGCTCTAATTCTTGACAGAGCGGGGATTGTCCTCACTCCAGCCACTTTGAACTTACTAGCGACTCACTTTCCACATGGCTCAGATACAGCCAGTGAGCAAATATTTTGCTTCTTCCACAGAACAATTTCCTTGGGGTCATATTGTTCAAAGGTAGCTATGCCTGTCACACTCTGCTTGGATTTTTGTGTGGAAAATAAGGTTGAGCACAGAGGTTGAAATCACGCCTTTTGCAGCCAGAGAACGAGGCAAAGATCGACATTACAGTGGAACTATTTATCATAAACCTATATTGGATGTATTTGTAGATTACACAGTCTTGGCTCATTAATGTGACTTGCAGTTAATAAGCGACTTGGCCATTTTTCTCTCTTGTGGAAGCTCGCTTTCCTGTTCACGGAGCAGAAAATGAGGGCCCTGATACTGCAAATGCTGGGTGTTTGTTGCAGTGGCTTACACTTCAGGGAACTGGCATGTTGTTTGTATGGAGACATGCAGACGTACATACCGCACGTTCACAAACAAACACACGCACGCGCTATGTATCGCAACCACGTCATTCACAGGCAGGAGGCAGAAATTCAGAAAAACACGCACACACGCATTCCATGCAACAAAGAGCCTACAGTGTGTGGTGGAGAGATGAATTGCCTGCACTGTATTATCAGGATGACTCATCAGACAGTAATCAATGAAAACAGGATGAAAGTCTTATCAAAGGAGAAAAATGCAGACATGAAATGTGTCTCAAAACAAAAAGAGGCTTTTGGCAGGAATCCGGTGCTGTACATAGCCCTCGGCTCGGGAGGGGTGGGACATAACCAAGCAATACTCCGAAATTAATATTCCCTGCAATCATCAACTCTCAATGATAAGCACACAAAGCAACAACAATGCACACACAACCAGCAGTTTAAAAAGTCAGCTCTCTGAGCAAATGCATTAAACTGTGGACCCACTTGTAGTTTGAAACATCTGTGGACTGAACACATTTTTCTTTAAGAACATACTTTCATTTCTATTGGGTTTTCAAATCTGGATACAAATGAAGTAAGTTTTTCAGTGATGGGGGAAATGTAAATCTGTCTCCTAGCCTTTCTTTTATTCTGCAAAGATAGGTCAATATAACAAATCCCCTTATAGCATCAAGGCCGTTGCTCTTTTCCAGTAGGATCAGCTTCACACTAATTTCCTGTTAGAGCAGACAACTGAAAAGAAATTGCCAAACATATTTTACCGTTGGAGTTTTTTCCCCCCTCCTTAACACGACTTAATAAAAATCTCTTTAAAATTCACACGTTATTAACACACTAAAATTAGACAGTGTAGAGCAAACGATTATCATTATTAAACGATATGTATGCAGCTCATCCGCCAAGGTTATTACGTGATAACAGGATCCTTCAATTTTAGAACGACTTCTTTCACATTCACTTTGTTCAAGTAAAACCTTTTTGTTTCTAGACAACACCTTAATGTTTTAAACTGCTAACATCATGCATATTAAATATAGTCCAAAAATAAGTACGTGAAACCAAACCACAGCAATGTGTTTTCATTTGGCTTTGTCAGACTGTCAGAAAAGTAGTTGAGGGAATTGATGGGACATTGTTCACACCCAGAGAGCCACAGTGCTCTTAAAAAACAGCCTGAGGGTAACAATAAATCTGTCTTCACAATTTATTGATGTTTGTTAATCTATTCATCTCAGTTGCAACCATGACTCACTTGTTTTCAATTAAAGTTGTGTCATATGTTGTGAAGACACTGATTATTCACTGGGTGCGCTTGGGACCTGAGCTAACGCAGAGGAAAGCTTCAGAAGTCCGTGCTCCGTGTTCCAAATGCTTCAGTGTTGAACCTGCGCTCATGGTTGAAAGCTCCATCCTCTTGCAGCCTCATGTATGCCCTGCTGTTGTTTTCTGATTGCTATGTCCACAACATAGTGCCGAGCTGGAGGACTGCCAGCTATATTTTTACCCACTTAAATACAGCAGCCTATTCTCAGAGAGGTGATGTTTGCAAACAGTAGCCTTTCTAAACTTTTTTTTTCCACTCCCACTCTTGACTCAGTATAATCAAGAATCAGAATGACTGAAGCGAGTGCTTGTTCAACAGAGCCTCAGCCCGGGACATTTTTAGCTGCATCACTTCTATTTTCATAACCAACTGCACATTACAACTAGTTGCAGGCAGCCAGTCTACATATTGAATTATTCCCAGCTGACAGTCTGCTTCTGTGTGTGCACTATGATCCAGACGTAAATACTTGGCAAAGTCAACATTAAACTGATCAGAGGATCAAGCTGTACCAGTTGATTGAGAGGACCTTGAGCTGTACAACAAAGATTTTGTTACTCTAATCCAGTTTTCTAAATTGTTAATAAGATTAATTTTTTTTGGTGGGGGGCTAAATTCAGTTATGGGTCATGATTACATTCACATGGCATGGGAATGACTTCACATGACTGTCTTGAAAAAAAATTGTTGTCAAGGTAACAGGCCATGCAAGAGGCGTCTGAACATTACATCCACTTATATAAAATGGTGATGTACAAAGGGCAACACCTCAGCAGTGAGAGATGTGATGAAGCACAGCTGAATTTATCACCGAGGGTAATGAATAGTAAGCAGACCACTTTAACTAGCTCCATAATGACAATGTGAGCTGTGTAGTATCTCAGAAATCTTCTTATGAGACCGCAAGCTTCTGTCATAATATACTGCATTTCACCACTTCTGCCTCACTGAGGAGCTTTTCATATTCTCTGGCACACAGTATTATAGCTCTACTCCTCCATGCCAAATTGACTCCACAAGTGCTCCTGTACCTGCTGACTGACACATGCTCACTGAAAATGATTCCTTCACCAGGGGCCAGCATTGCTGCTTGCTCTGGAGGGGCGCTTGATTCCATTATTAAGTTGAAAAAGGGAGACAGAGTGGAAGGATAGGGAGAGAGAGAGAAAGAAAAAAAATCCCAGCTCAACTGGGTCTAGAAGAATAATAGAGAGCTGAGGAAGTTATCAGGATAGAGGAGAGTAAGGCTGCTGTCTGACAGCAGATCAGAGCGCTCCTCCAGCTGGAACCCCTGCTCACGAGTCCAGCAGAGCAGCTCCCAGCAGTCGACCGGCATGATGAGCTATGCTGTGCGGGACAGGTCAGAACAGTAGCACCTATCCAGCCTATATCACAGTCAGTGGTGGCAAAAAAAGAAAGAAAAAATGTAGGTTAAAGAAAAAAAAATCACTAAGGCCTTTGCACTTTATTTCAGAGTTCCTATCTTCCTGCTTTCTAATATTCATATCTTTACAGGCCTCATATCACTGCATAGTTTATAACAAGAAACAC